AGTTCTCTTGACTCCAGGGCTGGTGTTCTATTCACTATGCCCCCTTATGTCCATCAGTTTGGAACAAGATTTACCCAGGGTATTTTTCATTAGCTCCTCACCCACACATGTGGAGACACCCCTTAGCCACATTCTGTTTATTTTGGTTGGGGGATAGTGGAGGTTGGGGAAGGGAAAAGGAGGAGGATTTTTGTAGAGATGAGGCTATTTTGGATTACAGGAACTTGATTATTCATTATCAACACTCCATAAATGACTATTCCTTACCAATATTTCCCTTCCCGAAACTACAAATCGTTTATTTATTCCTCATCTCAGCAGCCTCTGGGCATGGGTTGAAAAGAAGGATGAATATGTAATATGCATTTAGGAATTGGCTCAAGTAAATTCTGCTAAATAACTCACATTTAGTCAAGCAGCACCGAGTTCATTATTTCCAGGCCAGGTCATTTATACCCATCTTCAATGGGACAAATTCATATTTTATACCATTTCTGTACTTAGTATATTAATTGAATGCCCTCATTCTGATTAATGTTCTCAGAATCAAAGCACGGGACAGGATCTCAGGAGTCATTTGGTCCAACCCATACTTGAAGCTGAATCTTCTCTACAACATCCCTGGCAAATGGTCATCCAGCCTCTACTTGGAAAGTACCCTGGGAAGAGAATACTATTCCAGGAAGCTCACTCTACATTTGGCTTGCTGATTGATTCCCTATAATGCTCCCTTCTCAGGAGTTATTTCACTGTTTCTTCTCTCTTCTGAATACGTCCAACTCCCCTAGCTACTTCCACTCCCTATCTCTATTTCTTTACCATCTACTCACTAAATCTATCTTTAGATACCACTACTTTATTGAAATTAACCTCTCAAAATGGTACCAACATTCTCTTAAGTGCTAAATCCAACTATCATTTCTCTGTCCATGGTCAGAGTGACCTCTCTGCAGCTTTTGCCCTTCTTGGTCACTCCCTACCCTACAGACTTTCCTTCCTTAACTTCCATGATTCCATTCTCTCCTAGTCCTCTTATCTTCTCAGTCTTCTTTCCTGAATCATCTATCTCCTGTCCTTTAAGCTTCTATGCTCCATTTTCATTCCTCTTACCCCTTTACTCTTCCCTTTGGTGATCTCATCCACTCTCGTTGATTCAGTTACATCCATGAAAATGGCTCCAACAATAATATACCCAGTCCCAGTCTCTTGCTAGCATTTTAGTCCCATATTGAGAACTGCTAGTTGGGCAATTTCAAATATATGTCCCCTAGGCATCTTTAACTCTAAATAATGTTCAAAAGAGAACCCTTCTCCTCATAACCTACTCCTCCCTCCTCTAAGCTTCCCTATTTTTGTGAAAGGCACCACCATCCTAGTCACCTAGGTTCATGATCTCAGCATCATCCTTGACTTATCTCTCTCCCTCATTCCAATCAATTATCACATTGTACTGATTCTACCTCTAGGCCATGTCTCATATCTATCACCTTCTCTTTACTCTCCCACTCATCCTAGCTTGTAATAACTTTCTAATTAGCTTTCCTCCTTCCAATCTATCTTCCATCTAGCTGGGAAACTAATCCTACTAAAGTATAGGTTTGAGCATGCCACTTCCCTCCCCACTTATATTTCCATGTTTATTCCAACCTGCTCACAGTCCAGCTCTCTAGCTTCTAGCTGTATTGAGCTAGATATTACCCAAATTCAACATTCCATCTCCCTCATCTTTGAATTTCTACAAGTCTTCCCCTCTTCCCCTGCCCAGCTCCATGCTTGGAATATATTGCCTTCCTCAGCTCTGCCTCTGAATCCTTGTCTGCTCTCATGTTTCTCAATTCACTTGCTACCATGTTCAGGAAGCCCTCCTTAATCACTCTGTTTCTTATTGTCTTCTGTTTCTTTTAAGGTTACCTTGGATTGCTTTTTATTTACATACATGTTCCTGGTAGAGTATGAACTCCTTGAAAACAAGTACTTTTTTTTTTCATCTTTGTAGCCTCAGTCCCTAATACAGGTGCTTAATAAATGTCTGTTAATTTGAATTAACTAAGACTTTCTCCATTTTCCAACAATTGCCCCTAGCTTCATCCTCTGGGACCAGGAAGAATAATCTAACCTTTTTTTATATAACAACACTTCAAGTGTTTGAAGGCAGCTATCATGTCCTACCCCAACATCTTCCTTTGTTCAAGCTAAACATTCCTCCTTCTTTCCATTGTTCCTACAATGGCATATCCCCTAATCCTCTCACTATCTTGGTCTCTTCTTTCATTTGATTAATATATCCTTCCTAAAATGTTTTACCCAGAACTGAATGCCATCCTCTGGATATGACCCACCCAGGACAAAATCCAACGGGAGAGTTTTCTCTCTCTTGTTCTGAAAACCATGTCTCTTAACGTAGCCTAAAAATCACCTTAGTTGTTGCTGCTGCTGGTGTGCCACACAACTCCTAAAAATCTCTTCTGAAGGAACAATTTTCTGGCCAGGTCTCCTCTGTTCTGCACTTGTGCAGTTCATTTTTTTAATTGATAAGTAGGATTTTCAACATTTAACCCAGTTCAAATTCATCTCATTGGATTTTGTTCATCAATCTAGTTTGTCAAATCTTTTTAGATCCTGTCTTCTGGTATCTTCGACATTCCTCCAAGCTTTAAGCCATCTGCAAATTTGATAAACATTCCATCCAAGTCATTCATAAAAATGTTGAATTCCATAGAGCCAAAGACAGCCACATCCTCAGAATGGTCCAAGTTGGCATCACTCCCATAAGGATCCAATTCTGAATCCACCTTAGCTGTCCTATTGTATTCACAAGGATAACATGGGAGACTTTGTGGTTTCTTAGTCACACTCAAGTATACTATATCCATAGCCGTTTCCTTATCTACCAGTCTGGTAACTTGGTCAAAAAAGGAAAATGATGCTAGACTGGCATGCCCCAATCACTGCTTCACTTTTGAAATATTAATTCATCATCTCTTTAATAAAGTGTTCTTGAATTTGGCCAGGAATCAAAGTCAAACTCAAAGCTAATAGTTTAAAGTCTCCACCCTTTTCCCATGTTTTAAAAATTGAGACCTTTACCTGTCTCTGATGTGGTCCAATATTGGGTTATTTATATACTACCATTATCCATGGAATTTGAAGGTCTTTGTTGCCATTTTCTTGGTAATCCTTAGTACATTCTTGTGGGTTGGCTTTGGGGCAGGGGCATTGTTTTCAATTTACATGTGAGAAAAAAAACTAAAGTTCCAGAAGACAGAATGACTTCCCAAGGTTACATAGCAAATCAGTGGTAAAGTTGAAAATGTTATTTCCTTTTAACTTAGTTACAAAGAAAAGTGATTTAAATTGAAGTGTTATCTGAGCTTTAACATCTTTAGGATTCTATAACAAATGGAACCTTTTAGTCAGAAACTCCTTTTTTTTGGCAATAATCATCAGGTTTCAGTCCTTAGTGCATATTTAATTCTAGGTAAAGCACTAAAAGCCCACAATTCAACTATTTCTAGTGTAACTCTCAAAATTGTGCTGGCACCTTTTCCACTTAGGAAAATGAAAGAGTTGCACTAGAATCTAACCCATATCAAACCCTATCTGACCCCTATCAGTCACAGAATAATGTCTAAGCTTTAAAAGCAGTCAATTTAATGTCAATTCTCCCACTCTGACATATTAAGTTCTGTTTTCATCTTAAAACTGAATTTTTACTGTATACTACCACTATTCAAATATTTTAAATCATACTTTACATGTGGCAGTTTTTTTTAAACTGGGGTGGAGGGAGAGGTCACAAGATTATATGGCAAAAGGAGCAGTTCATGCCAGACAAGTGAACACGTGGGAGTAAGAAATAATAGCCACATTCAGTTTAAGCAAGAATTTGTGAAGATCTATGCAATTAAAACCTCATCATCTTTGTCAGTTGCAAAATGGATATTCTGATCCCATTAAATAAATGTCATCTCCTTCTCTACTGGACAGTTAGGCATATTACTCACAATACCCCCTTCCTGACATGACAAAAAAAGATACACTACAAACACCACATAAATGCCTGTGTTTCCAAAAGTTCCAAGATTACTTGTTTAAAAGAACTCAGAATACTTAGTAAGAATGGTACCATTATTTTTTATTAAACTTTGAAAGATTGTCTTGCTTTTAGAATTTCTTTTCTATTAGAGTTTTGCATGTACTGTCCCCTAAAACCCTAATACTTTGCTTGTGAGCAACAACTGAGCAGGACAAGTCACGTGGAAGAAAGAAGTTAAGGGAAATTAGGAGAAAATTCTAGGAAAATTAGAAGTACATAACATGGTCAAGAACAAGACAAAAATTTTAAAAGGGCTCTTACCTTTATCTTTTCATTTCGTTTCTAAAGCCTTGTAATTGAATGTACCAAAGTGTATTAGACACGAATCTATTGACTCCCCCTCTCAATAAAAGGTTAAATTTTTAATTACAGCACCTCCAACTATCATTTTGTGCAATTAGCAATTAACTAAAATCCTTGATGAGAGAATGCATAGCTAGCAATTACCTTCCTCCACACCAGCCGGTGTTATTTTAGTCTTTTTCTGTTACAGAGAACAAACCACATGCTCACAGAAACACTCAAAGACACATTTATTTTTAGCAAATTGCTATTTCAAAGTGCACTTTAAACAGGCATCCCCTTCCCCATGCAAGACTAGCCCAAACGGACTATTCCCCTCTTCTCCATCACCCAAGAGGCGGAGGCACTAGAAGGCTACCTACCATACTTCTTGTCCTAAGTACTCTTGGGGGTCGGGGGGGGGGGGGTCGGGAGCTTCTGGAAGATGAAGGAAAGGACGGTAGAGGGATGCTTGCTGACCCATAAAACAAACAGCAGGTAAAACCCAGCAGTCACCTGTATGGAAGCCCGGCAAAGGTGATGGTGGTGGTGGTCATAAGGGTGGCTGAGGCTGTCCGCTGTAGTTACTATCGATGGCTGGCTTGGCCACCGCACGTCTGAGCAGCCAGTAGGGTACAGTAATTACTGTATGGAGCGCACAGCAGCTGCGGCGGCGGCGGCGGCAGCGGCAGGTTCCCTGGATCAGGAAATTAGGGCAGGCACGGGGGATTGGAGGCGCGAGCGGCGCGCGAGCCAACCAGCAGCCACCCAGGGCCCCTGTGAGTCACGAGCGGACAAGGGGAGCAGCCCCGGCCCGGCAGCTGGAGCAGCAGCCACCACGGACACGCATGCACACACTCATACACACACTCATACATACGTGCGCACACAGACACACAGGGCTTAGGCACCCGGTTGGCGTGTATAAGAAGAGCCGGGGGGGGGAGGGGTGAAGTCTGCCGGCGTCTGTTCCTCCTCCTTGACCACTCCTCCCGCTCCCCCACTCTCACTCCTTCTCCCTCCCTTTACCCCCCTCTACAGTCGCCGCTGTGCTCGGCTCCTGGCTCCGGCTCTCTCCTTGGTTCCCTTCCCCACCCCCTCACCCTTTCCTTCCCCTCTTCTGCATCGCCTGCGTTATTTTCGTTTAGCAGGCTTGGTTTTGCACAGCTGCAACAGCGAGGGGGAGGTGGGTTGGTTAGTGGGGAGGGGGGGGGAATATTGTGCAAGTTGTAGGGGAGGGGGACGTCCTCTTTTCTTCCCTCCCCCACTTTCCCTCTTAACTCCCTTACCTTCTCCCTCCCCTCCCCCTTTCTCCCCCTATCCTCAGGCCCTGTCCCCTTCCCCCTTTTCTAAGGGTTGCTAACTTGTGCCAGGGAGCGGTGTCGGCACCACCTCCACAACCAGCAACCCAGGAGCAGCAGCAGGAGCCGGGCACCATGGGCACGTCCTCGCTCTGGGGACTCTGGCTCTTAGTCGCGATGTGGTGTTTGTCTGGAGAGCGCAGCACTGTGGAGGGTAAGTGAGAATGGGGCACCCTGAGTTTGCTGGCCCTGGAGAAATAAGCTTAGGTGTGATTTCCCTTTGCTCTTCTCTACTCACCACCCCTTCTCCTCCTGTGTTCTCCCTGCCCACCCTGGCGGCGCCCCAGAGCCCCCTCTGTCTATCAGTACCATGGGGGTGGGAAGAGAGAAAAGGAGGTGGTCGACAGAAGGGATGGTGTGGTGCTGATTTGACTTATAAATCTCACTTTGACTACCCCCCCCCCGAGAAAAAACCCCCATCGTTCTGAAATTCAAGAAGGTCTAAAGAAACCTTATTCTCCTTGATCAACCCCTTTCGGGGACTCCTTGAACGTGAGCTTCTGAACGATTGCAACAATGGTTTTCTCTCCTCCCCAAGGAGTAAGAGGAAGAAGGGAGGTAAAGGGCAAGGCCAGCCTGAGCTGGGTGCGAATGCCTCTTGGTGATCCTCCGGAGCTGCCTGAGGGTGGGGGAGGACCGGTCGGAGAGGGGGTTAGGGAGTGGGTGTTGGTGAAGTCTTACCCAGCCCAGTGGGTAGTACTACAGCTGCCGTGAGCCGGCGCACGTTCGGAGTGGCTCTCTGCTCCTGTAAGGGAGGGAACAGTGTGAATTGTGCTTTCTGCTAGGCTCGAGTAGTCCCGTTCTGGGGCAGGTCGCACCCTGGGATGTGGGGTGGGAGCAGAGGCTTTAGGTAGGTCCTCTCTGTTAGCTCCATCCTCACCTCCTTTCTCTTCTCCTCTTCCCCTTCGCCCCCAGTAAAAAATGCTCTCGGGCCTTCTATTCGTATTGCCCGGGAGGGGGAAGTGGGAGATGCAGGACTTAATTCTGATCGCCCTACGGCTTTCTCAGGAGGCTTTCCGAAACAGGAAGAGAGTCCGAAATCTAGCGACTGTAATTAGTGCTCTCTCCAAACAAAAGAGCAAAAGGAAACAACACGAAATTATGAGGTAGGGTTTCTTTTGGAGTGAGGAGAGGAGGAGGAAGGTGATATACGTCTGTTATCCTACCCCAGGCACTGGGGTTTATGGACTTCTCTTCACACCTTGGACTACAGATGCTATCTCTTGCCTCAGCTATGGAAATCTCTGTCCTTAGAAGGACTTCAGGAGTTTCTGGCAAAGGGATTTTAAAAGACTGATGAGGCGCTAAGTTGCCCATTTACTGGCTGTAGAGTTGGAGTAGGGAAAGGTTGTCCGAATTCCTGGCTCCAGGCTTAGGGTCTCAGGCTGCATTTCCACAGAGGCAGGAGATCAAAACTATAGGCCTCTTCAGCCACGTGTGAATTAGGAGTTGGGCTTTAAGGGGAAACAACTTCAAATCTAAAAACCAGAAAACTGAATTGTGTAGCTTTCATCTTCAAAACTACCAACACTTATCATGGTCACTAAAGAGTGTTCTAAGTAGTATCCTTCCTGTATTCTGACAGGTTCCTTTCCTCTACCTTTTGCGATTGGTTACTGTATCAATTTTTTTCAGTGTGGTGCATCTTGTAACTTTCTCAAGTAATAATTTGAACTATTTTACCAAGAAATGTTGTGAAAGGCTCGTGTGAAAGTTCTACCATCTTCAGAACTTCTTGAGATGGACTTTCTCTTGGGTGGGGGCGGTAGGTGATGTGGAGGGGAGGTTGACGTGTTGGCCTGGTCATTTTTTTTTTTTAAACTACTCTCCCTGCCTTGCTTATCCAGCATCTAATTTTAAATCTCTGCAGAACTTGGCTTTCTGTTGACTAGTCACCAATGTACATTGTAAAAGAAAAAATAATTAGTTTGTTACCCTTATCTAATAGGATCATTACAAAAATAAAATGAGTAAATGTATTAAAGCACTTTGCAAATATTAAAGTGCTGCACAAATTAGTTATTAGCTGTCTTTTTACACATGAGTCTTGCTTACCTAATAACATTACCTGTACAAGTAATACTAAAAACTGCTAGAGCAGGGGTTTTTGACCTTTTTATGTGCCTTGGACCCTTTAGCAGTCTAGTGAAGTCTATGGACCACTTCTCAGGATGTTTTTAAATGCATAAGATGAATAGGGATTACAAAGAAAACTAACATTGAAATAATTTTCAAAAAGTCCCATGACCTTCTGAGGTGATGACCAATTTCTTCTCTTATAAACCTCAGTTCTATACCTCTCCTTTAAACGAGAACAAACCACTGTGTACTTTGAAAGAAAAAACTAAAATGTGAATGCTTAAGTAACTGAAACTACTAAACAAGGGCCCTACAAAACTTAGCCATCTTGTATGGGAAGGGCATACATCTAACTTCTTTGCCCCAAAAACATTGGGGAAGGGTAATAACCCCAAGATCATAGTTGCTGCTATCCAATAGTGACAAACTTATGATGCTAAATATAAAGATTAGGTTTCTAGTCACAATAATAAATATGTTAAAACTTAGTCTGGATCCTCAGAGAATGTTTCATCTATTTTCAATAAAGTTTTCTGTGAGTCTATCTTAGCAGCCTAAATACAGCTAACCTTTATTTGCTTTATAAAGATGTTACAGTTTCCACTTAGTGGTTACAAAGAAATAGTGGTATTTTATCATTGCACCTCATTCCTACCTGGTAAGAGTTCTAGGACTCCTAGGTTTAACAAAAATGTTGTTAACAAACTATGGAATTCATTTGGTCAAAAGCAATGGAATACCTTTGAATGGGAATACAGTGGCCTAAGTGGTATGGGTTACGGGTTCTTCCTGTAGTCATAATCTGGATGCCAGTTTTAAAATCACTAAAACAGTCATCTTCTTGAGGGAGAGGAAGGAGGAAAAAAAGAATAGGCAACAAAGACTTGCCAAAAAAGGAGAAAAAATCTAAACATTTTAAGGGCAAAGAAAACAGACTTCTAAAAGTTTCAGTAAAAATAATTATAGACCTGCTTTAGATACTTCTTCTCCCCTTCAACAAACAAAATCACCAAACCTTAGGGATTATGTTTTATAGGAAATTGGTTGTCACAAGTCGTGAAGGTAATAACCTCTCACCAGTGCCTAGGTACTTATTTTATTACTGCTATAATGATAGCTTCCTCGCCTGTAAAATTCTCAAAATTCGTCTTGTAGAAGTTAAACCTTGATCAATCATAATCAACTATCTTGGCCTCAGAAGAGATGAAGAAGATGAAACACATCCCTTCTTTCCTTGGATAGGTGGTAATCATGGGCACAAAATATTGCATACTCTGTAAAAGACTTGGTCTTTGTTGATTATAAAACAAGATGGTGGTGTCCTTTGGTTTCTAAGAGGACCAATGTGACCACAGGATGATGTCCTTATTTGCACATGAATTAGATTTAAGTGAGGCAGAGTTGCACAAAGTTATCAGCCTCTCACTCTCTCTTCCAGAGTCATCTATGTCCAGTGACAAGACAAAAATTAAGACTAGGTAGACTGTGGAGGGGTAGGAGAGTATCCAGAAATTACTAACATAAAAAAAAAATCTATCAAAGGTTTTTTTTTTGTTTTGTTTTTTCAAATACATAGTTGATAAATCTAGCCTGGATAACAAAAGGTTGCTAGACCACTTTCCCAACACAAATCATTCTACAAATTAGTAAAGGCTAAATTGGTAACCATAGACTTATCCTTCTGTAGCCACAGCTGGGCAACCTATAGGTTGGAAAACATGAGCTGGGACAAAAGAGGCAGATGGGAGAATGAAGAAACAGGAGAAGAGTAAGTTGTTTTTATTTTTTGATTTTTTTGTTTTCCCTTTGAAGAAGTAAGGCCTTGTTTGATATATAAAAGTTGTGCAGACTGGCACTTGGGAATAAGTGTTCCAGACAGTTGGTAGATGAATTTAAATGTCAAATTACACACTTCTAGTTATCTTAAATTCACATCAGAAGTGAAAGTGTCTTAGTTATTTACCCATGCAAAAGCTCTAAGACCCAGGGAATTCTGAGGTACCATAAAGGAAGAGGCTGTTATTATAGTAGCCCACAGACAACTTTTAAGTTGTTGCCTTTTTGGACTGAAAACTAGAGTGCCTAATTTGTGACCTGGGTAAAGCTTAACCACAGGAAAGAATCTAATCTTTTTGTTGTTGTTACATATGTTCCCTTCGTGCTTTTGGCATTTTGGATTACCCCTTGAAGTGATTTCCTTTCCTGTAAACTCTTCCTTTATTGTTGTACTAGACTACAAGCACTAAAAATCAGTATTTCAGTGTAAAGGGCACTGACTTTGGAGCTGGAGGACCCAATTTAGAATTCTTCTACCCACCTCGGGCCAATCCTCTAACTTCTCTGCTCCTCATAGGTAAGATAAGGGAGTAGGATTTGCTGGCCTCTAATGGTCCCTTCTGGCTCCAAATCCAAAATTTAACCTTATTGGTCATGCATTAGGAATAGGGAGCAGGTGATGGCAATCTGTCCCTTACAGGAAAGAAAAGCAAGCATATCCTTCTAGGACAAGAGTTTGTAACCCCTGAATTAAGGGTTAAATCTGTGGATAAATTTCAAGAAGTCTGTGAACTTGTGTTTTCACTCTTTTGATAACTATACTTTAGCATAATTGGTTTCTTTTGTGATCCTAAGTTTACCTTTACCTAAAAACCTTTCTCTGAAAAGGGGTCCATGATTTAAAAAAAAAAAAGGTTAAGAATCTCTGTTACAGGATATAAAATAGGTCACTTACTAGGATATATGGGTTTTGCTTCTCCTGAATACCACTTTGATAATCAGTCTACAGATGGATACGTGGTAAGTGCTATGTGATAAGCAAGTTTAGTGCTTTACTCACGTCAAATGCTAAAATATTTCTCCGCAAAACTGCCTCTGCCCCTAAACTTGCTTTTACCCCACTGGAAAAGGTGATACTTATAGGAGTGGAAAAGAGATGGAAATCACTAATGGCTGGAATTGTTAGCAAGCTTGTAAGATGCAGGACTGGGCCTGGGTCTGAATAGGGCAGTAAAATTTAAATTTATTCTGGGGGGGAAAAAGGGAGAAAATTCCCCCAAATGAACAAAATCTCTACTC